AACGCAGCAGGTAGCAGCGGCCACTAAGTACAGGTAGCAACAACAACCATCATCGAGACTAATGTTGTGTGGCGGCGATGATGTGAGACCGCCGACTTTGCGATGATCTAAAGTCTGGGGTAACGAATTTTAAACACTCTATTAGGTTTTAAGAGGGGTTCGAGATGTCACTGCTTGAGCAGCTCAGTAAAGCTTTTTAAACCTCTCGAAAACCTATTTACAGGAAACATAACTAACCAATAACTAAAAATGGAAAGGCACATTTTTAAAGTAGTTTTTAAAATTTAATTGTTATAACAAATTTTATGTTAGAAAGCGAGATGGGAGATCGAAAATGATTAATAGTAATGATTTAAATCGTAGATTAAAGCACTTACTTTTTTACTCATTTTTGTTATATCCCTATAAAATTAACTAAGCTGAGATAAATTATTAAATCTTTTATTGAAAGAAATATACCGACTAGATTGCCATTTAAAAACGGTTTTTTACGAATTAAAAACTATTATAAATGAAAACGCCTCTTGCTGTGCTTCCAATTCAAACTCATTAATAACTTGATGAGAAATTCCTATCTACGTGTGCCTGATGGATTATGCAAATAAATCGATTAATGTCTAAGTTTGCTCTCGGTATAATAAGATAATTTATTTTTATGAGCGATGAAGCTAGATATTTGTATTCATTAATAACACTGTGCAGCATTTTTAGTGCTTTTTAAATTTACCTCGATGGATGCTATATTTTTGGATTCGTTACGAATTCCCAAGTTAAACTGCGTTTTCCAAAAAGTTCCCCGACGCAAGGATTCTTAGCAAAAGGACCTCAAAGTTCGAAGAATGCTGAAATTGGACAACTTTCCAGAGCTCTCAGAGACAAACGGATGCATTGTTTGATTCGATGTTAAAGTTTTTTAAAGGATACACCCTTTATCTTTCAAACCCCATACTTAGAATAATTTTAGGATTTTTATTAAAGGAGAAACAAATTTTAGAAAACATAGTCAAAAAACATAAAAGCATACAGCTGCGGTCAAAATAGTAGTAGTGTTGCCGCCCTGTGTTTTTAAAGGTTTGTTGTTGTAATTTATCTTCTCCTGGTAATATTGTATTGATTATAATTGTACTAATAGACTAATTGGATAAGAAAAGTGACAACAAAAAAACTTTTAAAAACACAGGGCGGCAACACTACTACTATTTTTACCGCAGCTGTAAGTTTTTTAGTTTTTTGACTATGTTTTTTGGAATTTTTTTCTGCCTTAAAAAAAATCCTAAAATTATTCTAAGTATGGGGTTTGAAAGATAAAGAGTGTATCTTTTAAAAAACTTTAACATCAAATCAAACCTTGCATCAATTTGCCTCTGAGAGCACTGGAAAGTAGGCCAATTTCACCATTTTTCGAACTTTGAGGTCCTTTTGCTAAGAATCCTTGCGTCGGGGAACTTTTTGGAAAACGCAGTTTAACTTGGGAATTCGTAACGAATCCAAAAATATAGCATCCATCGAGGTAAATTTTTGATGCTGCATAGTGTAATCGAAAGCAGCTGATGACATTATAAAACCAAGAATTTATTTGCTTGATAGTATCAAAATACGTCACACTTAAAGTTCATATATAATTTGTTATATCAATTATAGGTATGCTAATTAATTCATATTTAACGTGAGAAAATAAGTTGTGCCAGATTCTTCTTGATAGAAGAATTGCAGTATATCCAAGGCTATTAAAATATTTGTCGAAAAAAAGAAGTAGTTTAACTATTACATTTATTATGAATACAAACACTTTAAGCCAACGCAAATGGAGCAGACATGGACAGTTAAAGTGTATCCGAAAGCGTTTAAGTCGCAACCGCATTTTCGAGTGCCCCTCAAGATCATGATAATTAAGTTGTCTCGCATACACTTTTTCATGTACTGATGTATGTACCTCTGTTGGCTGTTTGTGTGCTCGGTGCAGAAGTGTTGGCCATGGCTTAGAGCGTCTGAGAACTGGAGACAATTCCACACGCCTGACCCTGGATGAGTTAATTGCACCGACCGAAAACTAAACCCCCTTTTTCCCGCTCCTCGTTTTCATTTTCATTCGCAGACTGGCGCTTTCCATACCCATGACCAAGGGGGAATACAACAATTGTTACATGTACGACGTCAACTACACGGAGATATTGGCCCAGGGCAAGGTGATGGCCGATCCCAAGTGGCCGCAGGTCAAGTGTCGCCACGGCTGGTCATATAACTTCACGGAGATCCCCTACTCGACGGTGGCCACCGAGCAGAATTGGGTGTGCGACGATGCCGCCCTGCCGACCTACGCCCAGTCCATATTCTTCCTGGGCGCCATTGTGGGCGGACTCCTCTTTGGATGGGTAGCGGATCGCTTTGGTCGTATTCCCGCCCTGATCGGCACCAATATGATGGGACTGCTGGCCGGAGTGGGCACTGCGTTCGTTAGCAACTTCTGGCAGTTTGCAGCCATGCGATTCTTTGTGGGTTTCGCCTTCGACAACTGCTTCACCATGATGTATATTTTGGGTGAGTTATTACACAAAAAATAAAACAAACGATATTAAACGTAGATCGATTTTACAATATTTAAGATCAATTTTAATCAATTTGATATGTGGCCAGGTAAATTTGACCTGGTCAAAAAGAGTATTTCATGTAAAAACGACCTGCATGAACTGTAATTTACATGGCCATACCGATTTTAAAATTAAAATAATTTCTTTCAGCGATTTATTAAAATTATAATTACTAAGGCACTTATAAATTTGAAAGGATATATGTTAATTGAGTAAAAGAAGTGAGTCACTTCATAAAGAACAGCTAATTCTTACTCTTAGCAATAGCAATTTGCAGAAATCGATGTATTTAACATAAAAACAATTGTTAAAGTAAAAACGCAAACATTTCTTCGAAGTAATTTAAAGCTGCCTAAAGTAATAAATCGAAACTAAACGATAAACTAAATTTAATTGTTGGTTTTATGTTTCTTTTCTTTGCTCCACAGTTCTCGAGTACGTTGGTCCCAAGTATCGCACCTTTGTGGCCAACATGTCGATAGCCATATTCTTTACTGGAGCCGCCTGCCTTCTTCCCTGGATTGCGTACTTTTTGGCAGACTGGAAGCTGCTGGCCATCGTTACCTCCGCTCCCCTTGCTTTGGCCATATTTACCCCGTTTGTGGTACCCGAATCGGCTCGTTGGTTGGTCTCCCAGGGAAAGGTGGACAAGGCCGTTGGAATCCTCAAGAAACTGGAGAAGGGCAATGGCCGCCAGGTGCCCGCTCAAACGTATCAGATCTTTGCGGACAGTTGCAAGAGGATGAGGGAGCAGGAGGCCCAGAATGGCAATTACTCCGTACTGGATCTCTTCAAGTCGCCACGTTTAAGACGAACCACCTTGCTGCTCATCGTAATCTGGATGGCCATATCGCTGGTTTTCGATGGACACGTGAGGAATGTGGGTTCCCTGGGACTGGACATCTTCTTCACCTTCACACTGGCTTGCTTCACGGAACTGCCTGCAGATACCCTCCTCACGGTGATCCTGGATCGCTTTGGACGCCGTTGGCTGGCCTGCAGCTCCATGGTCCTCAGTGGAGTGTTCAGTCTGTTGGCCACCGTGGTGCCCGTGGGCATTTACTCCGCTGCCTTGGCCATTATGGGTCGATTCTTTGTGAACATCAGCTACAATATTGGCCTGCAGTGGGCGGCGGAGGTGCTGCCAACGGTGGTCAGGGCTCAGGCAGTGGCCTTCATCCACATTATGGGCTATGTGGCCAGCATCATTGCTCCATTTGTGGTCTATCTGGCCAACATATCTCAGGCTCTGCCGCTGATCATCCTGGGAATTTTGGGCATCATCGGTGGCTTGTTGGCGCTGCTACTTCCGGAGACCCTGAATCATGTCCTACCCCAAACCCTAAGCGATGGAGAGGAGTTCGGACGCGGCCAGAGCATTTGGGACTTCCCCTGTTTGGCCAAGCAGGTGGACGACGACGAGGATGAGAAGAGGAATGCCGACGTGGAGGAGGTGCGATCCCAGGCATTTGTGAGGGGCACCCAGACGGGTGCTTCGTTGAATGCCTCCACGGGTGGAGAACTGAGATCCAGCATCCTGCGCAGATCGATCAAGTCGCGCAACTCCACGAAGCTTTAGAGGATGCGACTCTAAAATCAACTAACTATATATAGCTAATTGTTATAGCGGCCAATAATCTGTAGCTCTGCCTTGCATTTGTAGCATCAACTAGCCTCTAAGTGTCGTTAAAGACTTTTGTGATACTAGAAATAAGAAATTCTTTGCGCCTCTGAATAAAGTCAACAAGTATGACAAACATATTATATCTTTTTTAATTATTAAAAAATATATAGGTTTATTAAAAAAATGTATATATTTTTAAGTGATACCATTAACAATCAAATTGATAATAGTCAGGTAAAAATTGGGTAAAAACCATGTAGATAACGCCAGATGGGATCCCAGTACGTAAACCGGAAAGGTAATATCAATTTAGCTTCGAACCCACAACCTGTAAAATATTTTACGTGGGCACAGATCGGAAATTATCATTAATATATTCCGGATATTTGAAAATAAGTAAAAAAAACGTTTTTCCGCATAGTCATATATGGATTGCTTCCACAATAGTGTACAAAAATGTAATTTTTCGAGGAAAATGCTTTGATAACTTCTGGAAAATCGTTTTACACATCCTATAATAGATGTTCTATAATTTCCTTCGCTATAAAAATTAAGTATGTTTTCGTTTGATTTCACGGAATGCAAATGCTTATATAGAAATATATATAAGTGATGCAATATACAATTTACATATATGCCCCAACCGTTTATGATCGTCGTGTTTTTCAGCTTTTCCGCAAGTGCAAAATGCAATTAAACGTTGTATGCATTTATTGGCACAAGGGTCAACAACCAAATCCGCAAGCAAATATCCGATTGAACTACAAATAAGTGCCGATTTGCCACTTACCTATAAAAGCTGCGCCCTTTCGAGGGCATCCAACCAGTACAGCCAGAATGGCATCTTCCTCCGCTTGGCTTGTCCTCATCCTGGGACTCGGGTTTACTTGTGCCCTCGATTTAAGTATCCCAACGAATAGCAGCAAACTCTTAAAGGTTCTCACCCAGTTCGAAACATCTCCACCGGTCCAAGAGTTACTATACCACATCGATGTTTGGCGGAATGAAGCAGCCTCCGTGGCCTTGCAAACCGCAGCTCCAGCTCCTTCCAATCTTGAGTCCGTAATTCGATCTGAAGTCGCGGGAGATTGGGAGCGGGGCAGGCTCGTCCTACAATTGGCCAACGCAGCGAGGACCGTGGAGCTCAAGGAGGCCATTTACACAGCTCTCTGGCAGGAGCTTCAGCAGACCAAGCAGATCTACGATCCCTCGAAGATCCTGGAATTTTATGACCAGCTGTCGCTGCACACTGATGTGCCGCTCCAACTGATGGAACTGATCTACCGGGCTTTTATTAATCGCAGTGCCCAGTTGTTGGAGGCTCCATTTCACACAGCCAGTCGAGAGGCCACTTTTCCATTGGTAAGCTCCCTGGTCCATCGTCTAACATTCAGCACTTTGGATTATCTGCGGGACATCCTGGAAGTTCTTTATGATGCTGTTTTGGCACTCGAAACGCCTTTGAGTGTAGTGCAGAGGCTGGGGAATTTTACAGCCAGTTTAACGCAGTTGGCTCAGGCTAATCTGCAATTACTTGCCAGGGAGGAGCTCAAACGTGGCGATCCGGAGGTGCAACAGGCCTTGCAGAGCAACTTGAGAAATTTACTGGAACAGCCTGGTTTCGAGCAACAAGTGGCGTCCTCTCTACAGGCAGAAATCTATGCACATCTTCCCAAGGACGAGCAACTGCTGTACACCGCTCGAAAGGTTTGCATTCGCAATGTAACCGATGCAAATTCGTACATATACGAGTGTCCGCAGACGTATCTGATCTGCAGTAACGTACGAGATCCCAAAAAGGCAGCCTATTTCATCCAACGCGGTCACAGCAACGACAGCCGGCCGCAGTTTGCCTTCTACAGTGCTTTCTGGCGGAATCGCTACATCCTCATGGAAACAGCCACCGCGACAGGCAACAATGCTACTAGCTCGATCACCAAAAACGTTTATAGCCGCACCAACATTAACTGGTGGCGAGTGGTGTACGGAAGTGGAGGAATCTCCTTGTACGATGCAGTCACCGGGAATTCCGTACTGTGCGGTGGAGATCCTTCGCACTGGGATGGCGAGGAGCATCACTTATACACCCGTCGCGCATCGGAGTTTTCAGCTCATCTGGCGGAGTGCACCTGGAGTTTGGAAGACTGCAGCGATGCCGCTTAATAACTATAAATTATTACTATGTTTATTTTGTCTAATAAGGCACATGTATGAGAAAACCGAACTACCTCTGCTGAAAGTCCCAGGGTATGCACACAACGCCGTCGGTCAGCACCGAATAGTAATGGGTTATGTGCAGCTTGCACTGCTGCAGCTCCTTCACCTGCAGCTGGGCTAAGTCTCTGAGGGCTGTGATCATCTTGTCCGGGGTGACGGCGTCGTCTTTGGTCAATGATTGCAGTTGCAGCTGCTTAATGCACGAGTCGATCAGTTCCTGCTCGACGTGTTTGTCCTGGGCGTACTTCTTCATCCGCTCCCGGGCCAGTTCCATGTTCACGGTGATGAAGTCGACGAGTATGGAGCCCGGACAGGTAGCTGGCGTGATGAACTGCCCCGTGGGGCTGACCATCAGGGGACCCGCCTCTGATTCCACCACAATGGTGAACTCCTTGAGCGTTTTCGGCCATTCCGCCGGATATTTTTGTTTACCTATGTAATCGTTGAGCGACGTGGTAACCTTCATGAGGTAGCTTGCATAGCCCCTGGCCTGTTGCTTGGGCATAAACTTGCGGCGTCCGATCTGGATCTGCAGCAGAACCTGCGAGAGTGTCCGTTCGTAGACGGGCACCACCTTCAAGTAGGCATCGTGATGCGGAATGTTCTTGATGAAGTCAATCCAGGTGCTGAGCACATCGCCGGTGAACAGCATCACGTGACCCTCGAGACTGATGCCCGTGAAGGGAGCAAAGACCACAATGCGACGTTTGAGGGGAGCCATTTCAAGTAAGTGTGTGTTGGACAGTCGCTCTAGGGTCTTCAAACAGCCGCGATAGTGCTCTATGTTCCAGCCGCACTCGTAGCGGGCATCCTGTAGCTCCAACTTCTGGACCAGCACCCTTTGGAGCTTGTCAATCTCGGCCTGCAGGTCTGCCGTTTCCTTGGAGCGCTGCTTGGCTGTCCCGGCATTCTCCTCCAGCCAGGTGGTCAGTACAGGTCGCTTGAAGGCACGTTCCTGGGTTAAGGCAACAAAGGTTTCACATTTACTTGGTTTTTAGATAGAAAAATTTGTTCTACAAACATTTTTCAACTGAGATTCGAACTCGGTAAACTGCGCATCGTAGTGATAGTCCTGGCCCGGCTTGAAATCCAGGCCAGAGAAGGGCTTTGGCGCCTCCGGCTGTCCCTTGATGTTCTTCACATACTCCGTGGACAGGTTGCAGGACTCCAGGAGGCTCTGAATGAAGGTCTTGGGATCGCGGGTGCTCTGCCAGTCCGTTCGAATCTGGATGAGCTTGAAGGAGTCCCGCTTGTCGGCATCCGAACTGGTGCGCACATAGAACTTGAGCACCTGGGCGTCGCCACTCCCGCGCTGCCTGCGTTCGTACAGAGCCTCCAGATGCTCACTTAGGAGCTTCAAGGAGTTCTCGTTGGTGTTCCGCTGCTCAGGATGCTGGGCAAAGAAGTCCGGATGGACGGCGAAGTAGAAGGGTCTCAGGGCCGTCGTAAGATCTGCAAAGGAGCGGCATCACATGATTAGTATCCGAAATTCAGGGGCATATGCAAACGCACTGACCTTGGTTCAGCGATCGACGCGAAATCAGGAAGTGCCGCCCGCTGGTGACCAATTTCCGGATCTTGGGGCCCAGCGACATGGACATTATGTAAGCGGTGAGCGGCGGCACAACCCTGCCCCTCGTCCCAGATGGCCAGCATGCGGCGACGACTGCTGCGGGCTTAAGATTTTAAGATATATAACTCCTGATCTTGAAATTATGAAAGACGGTCAAATTAGTGAGACCGTTGCGCAAAACGCTTAAAATCTATTGCTATCGGGGTATCAGTGATGGCAACTTGACTGTTTGTCGGCCAGAATTTAATTATGAATTAAATTAAGTTTAATTAAATTGCTTAATTAAGTTATATTTTATGTTATCGCACACATTTAATTTTCCAAAACTGGTTGCAACTTGCATTATTGCAATTAAAGTGTAGCATCCTAGAGCACAAACACATTTTAAAATAACTCAGCTATTTTCAAGCTAAATAGAATAACCAAATTAGCCAGCACTGCCTACCGCCGATAGTTTTGATGTGACCAGTTTTAGCACTGAATTCCGCATTGTTTACCTCGCTGCCAAAGTTTTTAGCGGAACTCCAATTATTTTGATTATTAATAATAGAACAAATCTCACATAAAGATGACTGCCGTTCCGCCGCCTTCCAACATCTCCACCCTGATGCCACTGGGTAAGCCAAACATCAAGAGATCCTAACACCCACAGTGGCTAATTTTTGCCGGTTGCTCCTGGGTTTCCCTGCAGAATTGGTGGACAAATGCATCGGCTCCCGCATCCACATCATCATGAAGAACGACAAGGAGATGGTGGGCACTCTCCTGGGATTCGATGACTTTGTGAACATGCTGCTGGACGATGTTACGGAGTATGAGAATACGCCCGACGGACGCCGCATCACCAAACTGGATCAAATTCTGCTAAACGGCAACAATATCACAATGGTTGGTGCTCCGCTAACTTATAATTATTTATTAATAATATACATTTAATTCATTGCAGTTGGTGCCTGGTGGCGAGCTGGCGGAGTAACAAGGTTCCATTTGTAAACGAAAATACATTTGTAAAATAACAGAAACAAGAGTTTTAATGTGGAATCATGCGTATGTTAATTTACAGAGGTATGTTAAGACTCTAACGGTTAACAGAAATGTTTTGAAGCGGTTCGGTTTAAAAAATTACAATTTTTTTTAAGGAATTGAGATACACTTTTAAAAAAGGAAAAAAAATTGAAGACTTTTTTAAATCCGTTTAAAATTTTGTAATTGCTTTATATAAAAGGAGTCTAAATAGAATAGTAAAAAAAAATGTAATTGAAAAACCTTAAATATTTAAATTAAACTATAAAGTCTGCAACAGTACATATACAAACTTTTACAAAGTTTTAAGATAGTTTAATTCTACTATTAGGATTTTTCGCAGCTATTAATAATTATTAATGGTTATTTATTTAGTAAATTGCGGCACTCAAAAAAAAGGGTTAAATAAAAAATAATCTCTTTTCAAAATTCAAATGTTAGGTTTAATATTTAAAGCCTTTCCGTTAATACCTAACAGCTATTTATGCTCTGGCGGTCATGCAAAGTAGGCGCATGCGCTCCACCCCCAAAATCGTGGGTCTCAGCGATACAGCAGTCAACATGTGCCATAAATATTAACCGCTTTGCTTTTCCCTCCTGGCCGTGCGTGTGGGTGCAGTGTGCTCTCCGTTCTCCATTCTCCGTGCTCCGTTCTCCCGCTTCCGTTCGGCACCTCCAGCGCTCAGTACGGCACCAGGCTTCGACGGAAGTGGAACAAACCAAGCGGAAACAGACTCACGCGACAACAGAGGCCAGCTCGAATATGGAAAACTTTTCCCCTGAACCAATATAGAACTGATAAACGCAACTCGGAGTGAAGTTCATGAATGGCCATGACTAATTGTGGTCGCCCAGCGGCAGTAGCAGCACCAGCAGCATTCGTTGTGTGAGCCCCAAAGGTGGTGGAGGTATTCGTCCAACAAAAGATTTCAGTATCTCGGTATCTGTATCTGTCGGTGTCTCATTTGAGCGGCTCGAATGATCCGCCGCCTGTAATTATGACTGCGTGTAGAAATCAATAAGCGGAGGATGGCCAGCAAGCCCATGAGCAGCAGCTGCCAGAGCATTGCGACGGCGGCCAGCAGTGCGGCGACCACGGCGGCGGCGGTCTCCATTCCGGCCTCCAATGCCACCTCCGTGGGCTCCCTCATTGCCGCCGCCTGCCAGCAGCAGCAGCAGCAGCAGCAATATTCGCAGTCCCAGCAGCAACACCTCTATCAGACGACCCATCAGCAATCATCGCACTATGTCAACGGGACCGGCAGCCTGGGCAGGCTCAAGTTCCACAAGAGTCTCGATGCCAGCGACGAGGAAATCGAATATGCGCAGGTATGTCCAAGTGGCCAACAGCTAGTTGGAATAGGAATCGTCTCCAAATGAATTCAATTGTCCCCCACACTGAGTCATAATAATGCGACAAGGTCCTGCAGTGCTGGCTCAATTGAATTTGTCTTGTGGGTGGTGGGTGACGTTGGATGATGGGTGGTGGTTGCTGCCATTCTTGTCGAGTGGGTCCTCTTGGGGGTGGTTTGCGCCACCCAGCCCCCATCCCCCACCTCGCTGCATTTGCTGCCCCCTCAGCTGTTTAACCTCCCGGCCGGGTCGTTATGCATAGTTTACGCTTCGCCAGGCAACCTCAACAGCCGCCAACAACCGCCGTCGTCGATCAAGTGTTAATAATTCAATGCCCCGGAAATAGTCATATATTGAAATGTATCGTACGCCCGGGGAGATGAGATGGCTCCCTGGAAGGGCCTTGACTTTGGCACGGGCAATTACAAAAATTAACCAGTTGGATTAAATTATGGGTCGCTAAAAGTATGGGGGAGGCTTATACGCATGCCATGGTATCCATAATTCTATAGGAAAGTCACGATAACTAGTTATTGTTTGCCAAAAAAGGTAATTACTATTCAGTAATAGTACTTTTATAATGAAATCAAATTAATTGAGTCCGCAATTACCCTTAATCAGTTAACATGATAGTATCTTCCTACATTTACCTTCCCTAATCTTACCTTAACTATAAATAGTATCGGATTTCAACAGCATAAAAGCGAGATAATTTCTATGGGACTTGCATTTAAATTTTCCTTTGCTTAAAAAGTATTTTCTCTATGATTTCCTTTGCTAATGAAAAGCCATGCAATTTTAAAAGAAGACTGTGTTGAATATATTTTTAATGCCACACAATTTGCTCTTCCTGGCCGCTGGCATTATAACCGGCGGGAGGTCTATTCCAAAGCCTTTCAAGACAGTTATTACACCCTGCGCATTTGAACATTAATGAAAGAGCAGCGCGGTATATCTTTCTAGCTATCATTATTTATCTGGGCCTCTTTTTTCATATAATAAAATATAATATTAATTTAATGCAACTGGAATTAGGAAAATTGTATAAAATTTACTTCATGTTTGAATTATTTCCGTTGGTATTAGGTATTCAAATATTCGTAAATTTGTTATTTAAAAGCATAAACTACACTCATTATTGGTTGTTTCCTATTTCTTATGTGTGAACCTATAAAAATGTTTTCTTTACTCTATTACTAACTTGCTAATTTATGGGAACGGTCTGCTCTGCATGGTATTATTTTTTCCGCACCTTTACTCTGGGTTGGTTTGCTTTTCCCCTTCCTTTTTTAGGGGGGGGCAGTGAAAAAGTTGCCTGCCGGGGGCTTCATCCTGTATTCATAGAAATGCTTTCAATAAAAGCAGGAAGAACAGTAAGGACGAAGGAATGGGCTTGGCAAACATCATTTGATGGCTGGCACCACCAAACCTGGCGGCTATTCGGTGTGCCACATTGCTTAGACGTGCAAATACCCGGAAGTGCTAACGATAGTTTAGCATACAAGCTTTTCACTTTCACCGCAAATCAACACATTTCTTTCACAGAAGCAGAGCAAAGCGAGATAATGGTCTGGATTCACATATATATTTTTTAAATTCTTGTAAAAGAAGTTATTAACAAAATCTAAGATAAATAATATTATTTTATTAATATTTCAGCTCTCTCGTTCTACCCATATCCTGGGACGCCACAAGTCGGAGCGATTTCTGGCCTCCAATCCGGATGAGGACCGAAGACGTCGCACTATAATCGTGGAGAAGAAGAACAATTCGTACGGGTTCACCCTCCAGAGCTACGGAATCCACTACAAGCGGGATGAGGAGCTGGAAATGATCACGTATGTGGACTATGTGGAGTACGGGGGTCCCGCCTATCGTGCTGGAATGCGAGAGGGCGACGTAATACTCTCCATCAACGGCAAAGACATGGAGAAGGCGGACCACAAGACCATCGTTGAGTTTATCAAGCAGTGTGACACCAGGATGCGAATGGTAGTACTTTTTGAGGACTGTGTACGGAAGGTAGAGTATCGTTTGGAAATAATATAAAAATTCGTGATAATTTAACATATATTCTTTCCTCCAGGTGGATCTCCACATGCGCTACATCCAACTGCAGAGCATGTTGCAGCAAAAGATGAACGAGCTGGAGAGGGTTCATTTGAGGGAGCGGGAATTGTTGGAGGGCAAGTGGAAGACGCACAGTTTGCCAGCCCGGAAGAAGGCCAATGCGAACACTTCGCCCAGTGACGGGGAAGGAGTTTCACCCACAGAAGCCAGTGGAGAAACGGCCTTCTATCGCCCCGCCCTGTCCACCGAGGATGTGCCAAACATGGCGGCCCGCCAGCAGGGAGTGGGTGGACCAGGAATCATCCCACCTCCCGCTCAGTTTATGCTCACCTACCACTACCTGGACCCCACTTACCGGTACGTCCTGCGACCAACCCACGGCAGCTCCGAGGATTATATAGATGGACTTGGCCTGCAGCGGAGTAGCAGCGATCACCAGCCGCCGGCACAGCGTTATATCCTCCAGCGAACCGAGTCCGTGGATACGAATTCGATGACTCAACCCACAGCCACGGCGCCTACTCAATATCACAGCGCCACTGGGGGATCGGCGGTGAAGCCACCGGCACCGCCACCTCGCACCTGTGAAAAGCACAAGCCACCGGCTAAACCACCAAAAACCGAGAAGGAAAAGTCCACCGGGAAGCATTGCCATGTGGGCCACTCGTGCAATCCCTGCCTGGGTCACTTTCGCTGGAAGTCGGCGGAGAAATCAGCGGTTCCCGCGCCAGATAATGTCAGCCTGGATGCCTATGATCTGGCCAGTCCCTGCTGCGATACGCATTGTGTGCCAACGCGAAGGCGCCATCGGCAGCACAAGGAGCATACGCATAAGCACAAGCACCGGGAAAGGGAGCGGGTGGAGAGCAAGGAGCAGAGAGTCAGGCCCAAGTCCACATCGCATGCCTCACCCAATGCCAATGGAGGTGCAGGAAATGCAGGGTCAGGGCATCACCACCATCATCATCATCATCATCACAGCCACGAGCAACAACAGCAGCAGCAGCAACAACAGCAGATGCAGCAGCCGGTTCCCCACCATCATCACTATTCCCACCAGGTGCAGAATCCCTGCCAGGTGCAATCGCAATCAGGAAGCATTCGCTCCCGGTACTTTGACTTGGCCTCCGGTTTGGCCAGCCACTGCAGCTTGCATTCCTGCACCTCGAGTGAGTTTGCTCCAGGGGATACGGCCTCGTACACCACTTCCATCAGCACGGATACTTTGTTTTGGGATCCCAAAAGCGAGACGGGTCAGTCCCGGCAGCACTCCACCAAATCCAGGCAATCCTACGAGCAGCAGCCACAACAGCAGCCGCAACATCAACCACACCAGGGGCACCACCACCACCATCATCATCCAGGGGATTACCACCAGCAGCGGTATCATGTGACCGCCAACCAAATGCAGCCCCAGCAGATCTATCCCAATACCATTGCCTATGTCCAAAAGCCCAAGTCCTGGGACAATCTGGCCAACAAGGCGGGCTATAATGTTGGCTACGGTTACCTCGACACGGTGGCCGTTAAGCCGGCGATTAAAATGCAGATTGCCCAGCAGCGACACTCGATGCCGCGAAGGAATCCGTACGGCAGATACTCCACCTACGGGGATGTGGAGAACTATGCACCACCGCCCACCGAATTTGTGGGCGAGCTGACCACCACCACAACCACTACGATCACGGCCAAGTCCACGGAGGAGCTGTTGGCCGCCTGCGATTGTTTGACGCCCCAGCAACAGGCTGCCATCAAGGCGGCCCAGTACCAGCTCAGCCAGAACCAGAAGCTGACCCACCAGAACTCCTGCCAGATGGGATACTACTCGCACCTGCCGCGTCCCACCACCGATGTGGGCACCTCCACCACCAGTCAGCAGGTGCACGGGGCAGGAGATGTCCAGACGACGTCCGAGGCCACCAGGTTGTAGGTTGTCTAGGCCGCTAAAAGATCCAACCAGGAACCGTCTTAAGAATAACAAAAGTGCACTATGAGTTGAAGAGTAAAATAGGTTTTAAATTAAATCAGTTTCGAAGATGAAGAATAAGGTTTAATATGAGTATTCAGTTAAATGAGTATGAAATGAAATTGTTTTAAAATAGTTCTTATGTTCACAGAATAATTCATTATTGGAACTTTTTAATAGTCTGTTGATTTGACTATCGAGTTATTAAATTCTAAATTATGTAATTTTTTCACGAAATACGGATAGGCCAAAGAGTGAAATACTTAGTTAATTAAATATTTTAGAGTTTGACTATAGGAGTGAGTAAAATATTTAGGCAATTATTTGGTATCCATATTTAGTCAATGGAATAGGTGGAATTAAAGGAAAGGGATAGGAACTAAGTACTCATTTCGAACTCAATTGATTCAACCACTCATTAGTGCACTCACATTCAACTCCAATCGCGTCTTAAGAACCGAACATCGAAATCATTCGAAATGGTAAACGAAGCCAAATTTTAAACATTTAACTCAAACAGACAAAACATAAACTTATAGCTTAACTATTCAAGTATACGTACAGTGAGTTTCATGGGTATAAGATAAATGTTTAGCATCCAAAACTACAAGACAATACACAGAGATAAGCCCAAAAGAAGTTACTTCTAAGAGTAGATGATTCAGAAATTAGTACACCTTAAGATCTATAAAAATTATATTTATAGCTATCTTATGCGTATAAAACTCACTTTACATATAGGCGATATAACTAGGACGCATTGATGTTAAGATTTTTGGATTTATTGAAAGACTGAAAAGCCACGCGCATATTCCAAATGAGAGAAAAATCTGGCGTCTTGTAATGATATAGGATTATACAAACATATATCTGTACATGCCATATAATATGGTTAACCTATCATGCAACTAGATACTGTTTTACATGTAGCATATACACATCCATAAGCATATATATATTTATTGTATACTGTATCCGAACAATGTAATTTATTTCATTGTGATAGTGAAAGAGCAGACACTAAAAACCGCAACAATTTTAGTCGCAATTTTATCAAGCAACCAACCAAATATAATTTAAAACGCTTTTATGTAATGCGAAATGTAAATGTTATTGTACTTTATGTATTGCAATAAAACTCAAAAAATGTGTTCATGTAGTGTGACCCCTAGAAAAAGTTAGAAAACAAAATATGTTGGCGTTTCAAAATTTTAAAGATTCGGTTTAAAGGTAATTAAATATGAACTTAATTTAAAAATAATGTTGTACAATGTTTTGAGTATTGATTCTCAAATATTGTACTTCCTTTCATCGAATAATTTGAAATATTTATAAAAACTTAAGTTTCTATTTTCAAAATTGTATTTTTTGGAAAAAATTATTTAAAGGGTTGATGGAAACCTCTAGTGCACCCTAGACCTAATTAACCAGCTGTTTATTCTGAAAGTGGCGCCGCCTACCGTTATATTCTGTCATTTTCCAACCCCTAGAGAGCCTTTCGTCGGTCAGCTGTTCAACCCCCGCGAATTTGGCAACTGTCAGCGACGCCCTCTGTCGGACATCGGCGGTACCAGGCAGCTGTCAAAGTGGCAAAAAAATCAATACCAACCCCCAACCCTCCTCGTTAAAAATGTAAATGCGAAAAAATTCAATACTGTGCAGCCAAACGCGACGGTCGCAGCGTTCTCCACTCACAATCGCTCTCCCCGCTTTATTTCCCCAGCACGTAATGCTCCAGATCCGTGAATATAACCCAAAAATCGGTTAAAGATTGAGAACGGTTTTCGAATCGCCCCTAAATCCTCAGTAAAATCCCCAGCGAGGGCAACTTGCAAACCGGCAACAAAATAAAAAGTGCACAGCCTGTCCAGTGAGTGAAAAGTGGCAAAGTGTTCGAGCGCTAAGCTATAGCATACGATCTTGGGCAGATCCGGCAAAACATATGTCAAGTGCAGGGCCCCGCGACTGCTAGCAGAGGCTGTGACTGCGACTTCCGCATCCGCTCCTGTTTCTGTTGTTGTTGGTGGCAGCAGCAGCAGATACAACAATGATAAGGTGAGTGCGCTCGGGGGTTCCCCTGAGAAATGGATAAAATTACAACAAATAAAAGCTAGGCTTTCTCTGGATTCTTTGGATTTCAATTATTTTTGTAAGATTTTCGGTAATACCCGTCCTATATTACCATGCTAATCCGATAAATGCAGTTGCAGATTTTAAAAATACACTCTTTTTATTAAAATTTAATTTTTATTTATTGCCTTCAATTTTTAATAAACTCCTCTTTGGCTGAATATGAAATTTTGTGATATTGTAAGAAATATGTTCCTATTTTAACAAACTGTTTTATATTTAAAAGTTGTATAGAATTTAGAAACAAAATGCTTTAAAATCTTAAACTAGGGTTTTTTCAGGACTAAATATAAATTAAAGCACCAGTTTTGCAGCTTTAATTAAATATTTTTAAGTTAAAAAAATATCTTATTATATGATTACCAAAATTATTCACTAAGAGCCTTACTATACTTAATTTTGTTGACTCCAGTACATAGTTCGTAGCTAAAATACAAACATCCTTTGCCCACTTCGAAGCGAGATCAATTTCGATAAATAGAAATTGCCAATTAAATGTGAAATGTAAATTGCCCCCGGGCGACAGTCGAACGAACAGTTCACAAAAAGTGTCCTGGGGGCCAAGGGAAAAGTTCTCCGCTGGTCACTCGCATCCGGTTTTTGGTCCTGACAAACTTTTTGTGCAGCTTGTGATGTCTGCAGCGAGATATGAGAATTGTAACTTTCGGACCGACCGACTGTCTGTCGGTGCGTCTGTATCATTAGGGCAAAGTTGGCCCACTCAAGTAGTTGGTTTTTATATGTACGAATGTGCAAGATTTTTGGAATTTATTTTTTTCACCCGGCCTGCCATTAATTATGAAGCCTGAACTATGCCAAAGTTTTGCAGCCGCCCGCCTTCCGTCTCGCTCTCTCTCTTTCTCACTTTGAGCTGCTCAATTGTTAAACCAAAATTCATAAGTCCTAATGACTGGTTGGGCGGAGGTGAGGACCTTTCTGTGCGGGAAAGGGGAGGGGGAGGAACAGACAACTTGAAGTTTGCTGCGGATGCGGACGTTGCATGTACGACAACATCATTATCAGCGTCGGCAGCGTCAAAATGCCATTAAATGTGTAGCCTACAATGCCTTTGAAGGATTACACACCCCACCCACAAGCGGCTCCTTGTTTGCCCACACACTCCCACTTCCAGAAAGAAAAGGAGCGAAACGGAAAAAATGTGCAGCTTATTATTATGCGAATAGTTGCTACACAGTGAAAAAATTAGATCAATTGGAAAATTATACCAGGAGTTTTAGCAGGTTTTAAGTATGTATAAAATATAAAATCCGAGGATTAACATTTCCTAAAAGGAGTCTGAAATAATAATACATAATACAAACATAATATCTTTATCATCAAAATTCTAATAAAATATTCGTATGGAATTCAACTGAATGAGATTTTTTTATCACCCCGGAATCATATACAAATAGTATTTTAAAATAAGATATACATCTATCGGAATTAACCTATTATAAAATTTAATAAATCTTGAAAGGAGACAATTATTTTTTGTTTTCATTTTGTGTTCTGTTGTATGCTAACAATACGTGTATATTTATTACAAATTATTTAAACTACTTTAAAGATTTTAATAAAATTGATAATATAAAGGTGAATACAATTTTTTTCTGTGCATTGTTTCTGCTGTTGGTGTTGCAGTTGCAAAAGCTGTTGTTGCTGTTGCACGAGTGCTGGCGGGCATTGAAAAACACACTCACCCACACATGCACGCACTGGCAGTCAGTCAAAAGCGCGCTGCCCCACCCACTCCGCCCACTTTACCCCTTTTACCAGCCAACAAACCCCCCAAAGTGCGTTGCATACTCCGCCCGTGCTTCTTTTTTTGCACGCTTTGTTTGACTGGGATTGGGATTTTCCCTAACAGTTGTACTCACTCTCGTCGCTCTTGTTGCTGCTGTTGTTGTAGACATTGTCACACAGGCAACAACGACAACTACAAAAAAACACAAGCAACAGCGCAAAAAAAAGAGGAAAAACTTTGCCACGTTAACTACTGACTGACTCCGGCAAGGCGACAAAAATGTCCTGTATTAAAAAAAATGTGCTAACTACATTTTTAAATTTAATTCTTGAAAATGATTACTGACTGAAGTAAAATATCTGTAATAAGTGTTTTGTAGATTTCAGAAATATTAAAAAAAATATTGGAATATTTAGGTATTTTATTGTAAAAACCCCTATGATACCTATCAGAATTTTAAAATATATTTATTTTCCTTACTTTTATTTCCCTTCAATTTTATTTGTATTTTTTGAAATCAATCTTGACGCCTTTGATGGTGACAGGAGGACATTCTGACGTAGTCCTGCACCAACTGCGAATGTGTGTCTACGTTGGGGGGGGGGAAAAGGACGAGGAGAGAACAGGACAGGAGTTCTCCGACGACGGGGAGGGTGTTAATGAGCAGTGGCAACGACTCTGCTTAGTATTTGTGTTTCTTCATTTCCGGCTTCCACATGTTGACATGCTGATGATGTTGGTTAACTTCTGCCGAGGATGATGGCGATGATGAAGTCAGCAGCAGGAGCAGGAGAAAAAGAGGACGAACAGCAGCCAGTCTGTCATTCAGTGAGTGAGTGGACGAGCTGGTTAGTCAGCTTTGTTTTGCTACTTCACTCGCTGCTTGTTTGTTAACGCTGCGTATGCGTAATTTTCATATTATGTAATTTTAACGCGCTAAATGGAAGCTTAATTTGATTAGGGCGCCATAAATGTGTCCTGCTCGCTGTGTGTGCCCCAAATTGACTTGTTGGTTGGACTCTCGCAGAGGTGACGCATATTTGACGCAGTTTCCCAGTTGCCCCAAAAAAAAAAGAAAGGAGGAAACTATATTTACGCCATCTCCCAGTCACAAGCTCGCATCTCCAGTTACCAATGCTAACTGCACAGAAAGAAAATATTTAAAAATGAATTTAAAAATGTTGTCATCATCATCCAGGTCAGCTTTTTCATTATAATAAAATAAATTGGGGAAATAATTTAAAAACGTATTACATTTTCAATTAATTTTTATTTTAAGTATTTTAACCATTAATTTTATAAATCTTTGCTTCCAAACATTGTTATGAACTTCAATTTAATTAATAAATGAATCATTAGCTTTGCAATTTTTCCCAGTGTACTGGGCTGCTGGCTGATGAGCTCATATTGAAAGTTTTTGTGCTCTGTGGGACGACCTAGTTTGGCCAAAGCCAAATCAATGTGGCCGCTGCGGCGCCATTTGCACTGCCGACCCTTTTGTGCATTTACTCTGTTTTCCGCTCTGCCCTGCTCGACATTTTCCGGGTTTTTCCTCCGCTTGTGTGTGTCCTGTGTCTTTTTTTTTCTGTGCAAACAATTTCGCCTGGTCGCCTGGTCGGGCGTTATTAATTGAGCTTTTGATGCATAGCCAGTATAACGATTGTCCCATCCCCATCCCCCATTTCATCTCCCATCCGGAGCCATCTCATCCATCTGTTCGTGTGCACTTAAAAGGCTACATAATTGTTTTTACCAAATTGAAATTTTAATTGAATTCGTATTGGAATCGGAATCGGGATCGAGAATCCCTCAGTTATGACTTTAAATCGCCGCCGTACCGGCTTAGAAAACAAAGCCGAAGAGCAAACGGCAGATGAATTTCCATTCGATTGGGAGAACATAAAAATTAAAAATTTAATACGCTCTTTCGTGGAGCAAAAAAGCCGCATAGGCATTTCATTTTATTGTAAGCAAAGCATCGGCATCAGCATCGGGCCCATTGACATCCTCGTCGTCATTATGCACATTATCCACATCAACAATGGCTCAACGAGCGGCTGAATGAATCTCAAGTGGGCAGTCAGCCCCGCCCCCCATTTGGTATAGATACGTGCACCAATAGATAGATAGATAGATAGATAGATGGATAGATAGATGGATGCTTATAGGGATAGATAGATGAATGGGTAGATACATATCGATAAAATTGCATGATTCGGTTTGTTTATTTGCGGCATAGTTCACGGAACTCAGACCCGTTGCCCATTGGAAACTCCGGGAGTTCTATAGATTCACCAAGAGCACTTGAGACTAATCAAATGAACAATTCCCATTGCAGCAGAGCCGATTCGCAGACATAACACATTGCGGTGGCGGTTGAGAAGAACGGCATGGTGAAAATGGAATCCACGGAAGAACAGGATCGAAAGCTAGTTTTGGAGTTCTGCCACCTGCTAGAGAAGTCCAAGCAGCTCTTCAACGGGCTCAGGTGGGATTTAAATCCATATTACGAGTTCCTACCTTGCTAAATATATGTGTTTCCAGGGATCTGCCTCAGTACGGCCATCGGCAGTGGCAAGCCTACTTCGGCCGCACCTTCGATGTCTACACGAAGCTGTGGAAGTTCCAGCAGCAACATCGCATGGTACTGGACTCAAAGTACGGCCTGAAACGCTGGCAGATCGGCGAAATAGCGAGCAAAATTGGCCAGCTCTATTATCACTATTAGTAAGTATGGGTAATAAATGATAAGTCTCCAAACAGAAGGTACAGACTTTGATTAGAAAATGTATTTAGGATTATAAAATAGATTTTTCCATAGCCAATGGCGTTATAAAGATTTTTAAAAAGTGTCAAAAAGGAATAGAATAAAAATGCCTAGAATAAAAGACTCTAAGATAGGTTGCATTTTGAAGTAAATTAAATCTTACAAATTTAGAAGAATAATAAAAACAAAGTAAAGAAATTAAATGTGTAATCAGGATGGTAATGATTATTACAATAACACTACGGAAGTCCATAAATCTCTTGTATCGTTTATGATTTAATATCATAATCGAATTTTAAATGAAAAATATGACTATATCAGTTAACCATGGCATTCTGTTTCCATTAGAAAAACACTGATAATATCATTTATAGAACATTAATTTTGTAGATTCTTAGAGAAAAAACTGTTTGATCTCATTACTAAATGACACTACTCCCCCCCACAGCTTAAGAACCAGCGAAACCAACTACCTGAACGAGGCGTATCAGTTCTATGCGGCAATCAGGGGCAGGGCCTACTACTCGCGGGCGGCCAAGGAGGATCGGCCCGATCTGATGGTGAAAAAGCTGCGATACTACGCCCGCTTCATCGTGGTGTGCCTGCTGCTCAAGAAGATGAAGCTGGTGCGCGAGCTGGTCACCGAGCTGGAGAAACAAATACAGGAGTACACCAACACGTAATTACTTAGTGGCCCATTACTTAGTTGACTCCGTATTAATCCCCAGATTTCCCCGCAGCTACGAGCCGGAGGATCATCTGGAGTGGTCGCTGGTGCTGGAGGAGATCAAGGGCTTCATCAAGGCGGAGGCGGCGGTGGCCGTCCTCCATGCCGACTCCAATCCCATCATCCTGTCGCACAGGTGAGTCGTTTGCCACAGCCTCGCTCCGTACACGCGTATTTGCCCGTGCTTTCGTCGGCGGAGGAGGAGTTTGGACAGCTTGTGGGTGGCCAAGTGTATAGCCTCTATCTGTCTATATGCCCTATTCTGTTTGCGTAGGTATACGAGTTTTGCTTGAGTTCGAGTTCCGTTTGGCTTTGGCTTTGCCTTTGGCGTTTGCCGTTTGCCGTTGATTATGTTCATTTGTTGTGCTTATCACAGAAGACTTGAAACACCAGAGAACACTCACCGTTGTCATTTTGTCACGCACTTTAACCATGATATCTCTGTCCCCAAAAACACCCGTCAAAACCAATCACAATCCGGGTTGGGCGATGAAACTGTTTAGTCTGTTTAAAATCTCAAAATGTTATTCGAATTTCCTTAACTTATAATTTGATTGTATTTTACTGAAAATATATTTAAGAACTAATATCTGTTTAATATTTAATCAGTTACATTTAAAGCTACTTTTAATGGGTTTACTTGAAATTTAAAAATAACTAAATTATTTATAAAGTTTTTGAAAATACCATTTTTGTTTTTGTCATACACCAAAAAAAATCGATATGAAACGTAGGTCGGTTTTACATTATTTAAGATCAATTTTAATTTGATACTTGAAATAATCTAAAAGAGAATTTCATGTAAAAACGATATGGGTTTTGGGTAATACAAAACTGAAATTTACATGGCCATATCGCTTTTACAGGAACATGCTTTTTTTTGTGTGTTTGAAAAGTTTGAATTATATATATTTTTAGTGAGAAACAACAGTTTCATTGCCCGACCCTACACACACTCCACAAAATGTTATCATTTCATTATCATTTGGTCCATGAGCCCCCGGAACACGATCCCCTCCCACCCGTACCCTTGTCACCTCATTAGTGCGCCGCATTCTCAATTCTTCTGTGAAAGCACGGGCCCCGCCATTCACTTGAGGACGAGTGCGACTACCCCGACTGATGTGTCCAGTGGTTCCGGTTCTAGGTTGTCGCCGCTGACGACGCCGCCCTGCGAGCGGTCGCCGCACATGACGCTCAGTCTGCAGGAGATCCTGATCGTGGGCTCCGCCTGCGAGCAGGCCAAGTTCTCGGAACTAACGATGGACATGTTCCGGATGCTGCAGACGCTGGAGCGCGAGCCCACGGAGTCGACCACGAATCCGCTGAGCATGGCCCACGGACTCCACGGGCACGACGCGAGTCCGGCCGCCAGCCGGATACCGCCGTACGGAGTGCCGGGCTCCAAGGGCTACATGGAGAACGGCCGGGCCTTTCGAGACAATCCCCACAAGTATTTACTGTACAAACCTTCGATTAGCCAGCTGCTGGTGTTCCTCGCCAGCGGCTCCAAGGAACTGCCGCTGGGCGGTGCCCTGCTCCTTTACATGTCCGCCGACGGCTGCTTCTCCACCACCAAACATCCCGAGGATTGTGAGTACAATGTCCTGGGAGACAGTTTTCTAAAACTTTTTGAATTTTGAAAACTATTTGATGGTTTTTTAAAAAGTTTTTAGTTTACAATACATAATTTTAATTATACTTTATATTATATTTTAGTATTTATATTATTTTTTAATATTTATATTATATTTTAATATTTATATTATACTTGTTTATGTTGTTAAAAAAATTTTATTTGTTTTCCAAATATTATATTTTATAAAAATTTGTTTTCCTTTATAAATAAACACTAAAAGTTCAGTGAAACAATAAATATAAATTGCCAATGTAATTTTTTATTGAAAAAAAATGTTTTCTTTTTATTATTATTATTATTTTTTTATTAATTTTAAATTTTTTATCTTCTAATGCAATCCCTAAAATTATATTCTTCCAGTTGGCTACGAACTGGGCGGCCTGGCCACCAGCGTGAAGCGGGACAGCGTGGACGGAGGCGGCCTGTCGTGCCGGGGCAAATCTTACAAGGAAAACCACTGCCTATATCCGGGTGATCTGTATCCTTTCACACGGCGACCCATGTTCGTCGTGATCGACTCGGACAACTCGTTTGTCTTTCAGCACATACCGCGCTACTTTGGCCAGCCGCTGGTGGTGCTCATGTCGCCGCAGGATGTGCCTCCAGCATTCCAGGGTGAGATTACCGATCCTACTAATGGACCCCAGTTCTGATAGTTTGAGTTCGCTTTTCAGCTGATGTCCAGCACCATGGCTCGCTGTTTACATTGTTCCTGCACTCCCCGCTCACCGCCCTCTGCTACATCTGCAACGTTGGAGACGTGCCCATCCACCACTGGGAACGCTGCCAGACCTACGTGGATCGCTTCATCACGGAGGCCTCGCGCCTAGTCACTCGGTGTCGCATCGATGAGATCGAACAGGGCATAGGATTTATAGGTCAGTGTTCTTTATTGGTTAATAGCATGCGATATTTTAATAAGGAAATGGTGTATTTCTTTTTGAACAAAATATACCGATATTTTAGATATTTAGATAAGGCTATGCTATATTTATTTTTGAATAAAATATACTCATTGCCTTTATTAATTTTGATCCATAGATCTCGTTATTATTAAATATTAAATTTAGTATCCGTACAAAATTTCATTAAATTTAGGGATATTACAATTATGATATATCAAAGAAACCTAATTTGGTTAGATATATTTAAATCATCTAATTAATTATTATAATTATTATTATAGCTTAAGAAAAAACGATTATTAATTAACTACAATTGAATTCCTTCTTCTGCAGACTCCTCCTATGTGCAGTTCTTTGGCGACGACTTCCTGCGCACCCTGATCCTCCGCTTCGTCTTCTGTGATGTCGTGCTGCGTCTGCACCGCGGATTCCGGGGGCGGCACATGAGGCCGCGCTGCGAGCCCCAACTGCCGGCGAACGAGCTGCTGGAGCATCCTTCGCTGTCGCACATCATCTTTCAGCTGGCCTCGGCCCTGGATGTTCGGGGCCACTTCTCGGAGGGACCGGAGTGCGACTGATGACTTTTAGCGGCCGTAGTCCTAGTGGTGGCCGTGGGGATCTGCCTGCGACAGCAGCTGTGCCAGTTGATCGAGAGGCAGCTTTCCGGATGGATGCTTTCGCTGTACAATACCTTTCCGCTGGGCTGGAATTGGGCCTGAGAACGGGGACGTGGGTTTCCATGGGTTTCCGTTACCTTTCCTTGGCAGTGCCCCGGCTGCCGGCGTAATTCATTTTAATAACGTAACGCAACGTAACTGCATTATAATACGAATATAAATATATAAATACGAGTATAATATATATGATATATGCGTATATGGATAAAGGTAAATTAATCAAGTAGCTAGTTTTCTTATATAGTGCGTCGCGCAATGGAAATGGTCCAATGTTAGTTGCTTAGCATATACATAATTAATGATAACGAAGATATAAATCAATGATATTCAGCCGATATCGCTGCAGCAACAAGAACAACAACCACAAACATGTCAAAAGAACCTAACAAACGATAACTGCCAAAAGAAGATGAAAACACAAAAAAAAATAAGAAACCAAAAAACAATTTAAGAAAAACGAAACCGAAGATCTAATCAAATTTAGTTTGAGCGATAGCGGGAAATTTTTATGAAAATTGTGAGAGGGGATTTTTTGTATCGGGTCTAGGATCGCCTGATCGGGAAAATAGGTAACTTTGTCATACGCAGCGGAAACATTTTAGCTTTTATACAACCGATATTGAGAGAAACCTAATCGAAAGTGAATTACGAACACGACACACTATATAAGAAAGGGAATGCGTTTTTTATGCATTGTACGCGGCGCTCATAACAAATTTAAATTACGAAACCAGAATATTATTGTACGTATGTAATATTGCATATATGTATCTATTATGATTACAAGATGACTGAAAGTTACTGTTTCAACAAAGGAAAAAGAAAAAATAAAGCAACCAAAAAGATGGCAAAATTTAGCAAAAGTAATAATAAATAATAACTTATACATAATGCCCTAGTTAAGTGAAACATGGAAAATATACAAAATATATTTTGCGTATGTAAAAGTAAAAGTAAAATACAAAAAGCCCAACCAACATTTTATACGAACTAAACGCATACAAAATTTACACTTCAACTAACGAATGAAACGAAAAATCTGTTCTTGAATCATTTTTCCAAAATGCCGCAAATTTCCATTTCGGTTTTCGGTTCAAACTGTGAATTGGAACAGGTCACCGTAATAATAAATATTTATGATAACATATAGTTACAAGTCACACTAACTCTATGGATTTATAGGCAAATGATAAACGCAATATTGAAAGTTACAAAATTATATATATAAAGCATATATATTTCAATACGAAAATAAAACTAAAACTAGTTGAACGCATAGTAAATTACTTGATCATTTTTACACGACAAGCCGCAAACGAAAATAAAGCAAAATCTTACCAAAAAGATAAAGACAATTTAACAATTACTTTAAATTTATTATTTACTACGGATAATATGTGCATTTTTTATATATTTAAACGAAAGATAAACAAATTTTACGCTAGTTACAAACAAATTTTTCTGAAGTCTTCAAGCAGCCGTATTAAAAACGAAAAACTACAACAAAACGAAAAGAAAAGAAAACTAATTTATTCAGCCGAGTTCTTATCAACTTATTCGCTTTGTTAACTAACAAATTGTATAGCTTTTTCACAATTTCATTTACACTTTTTGTACATATAGGACAAATACTAAAAGAATCGTTGAAAGAACCAAATTGTATCACTCACTCATTGTATCATTTTACATTCAGATTTTTGTACATTTTGAGAACTGCATTTACGAAATAGCGAGAACAAATAAGGTAAATACATTAAAAGGAAAGAAAGAAAGAATTGCAAATAATCAGCAACATTAACCACACACACTCACACGTAAACGAAGCCCACAAACGAGAACATCTAAACATTATCATAAACAAATTGTTTAAACGACATGCAACACCGTCAAAGTCACAAATAACATACAAAATCGAGAACGACATACAGAAATGATAACAAATTTAGCAAAGCCACAAGAGAATATTATGAAAATGGAACGGAGAACGAGAAAGTGTATGGGAGTTTGTATGAAGTAATAAGAATAAAGCACACGTTTGAAAAGAGATTCGCTTTTTAATGGTTTTGAGATCTACTACTTAAGACCCCCGGTGTAATAGTTAATCCACCTTAGATAAGACGAGACCCGAGTGGAAATATCTGGTAGCTTTAGCTTACACTCGCCATCGAATCCATGAGATACAATCCCCACCAGAGTTCTGCTGCCATCGTCTAGTACCATCGGTCCTCCGGAATCCCCTCGACACGGCAGTCCTTTCCTCGAATCAATGCATATAAAGGAGCTGGGCACAACCTTCCTGCCTGTGCCATTGAGTTGCTTGTTCCACTGCCGCTCACACTCCTTGTTCGAGATGATGGGCACTCGGATGTACTGGAGCACCTTGCTGGGCTGTTGCTTGGTGGTCAGGCCCCATCCTGAAATGATGGCCCTACGACCTGAATAGGTTTTCTTCGAGCTGGGCAACTTGGCGGCTTGTATATATCTACTGAAAGTAAGCCTCTTGGGCAAGCGGATCAGGGCAATATCATTTGTCACGGTCCTCCGATCGAATTTCTTGTGCACAATGGTGTGGCTCCTGTTAACCACGATTTCCTTATCATTGAAGGATTCCAGTCTGCCTACGTGGACAAGAACTTTCGAGCTAAAATGAAAATAAGTAATGGAACTTAGTAGATATCTTATAATTATAATTCATTCATGGTATATTTAATCGATTTTTTTTTGTAAACTGGTGTAATTAGCCATCGGATTTTAGATGAAATCGTTTTTTTTAAATATGATTTAAAGCCACATTTGATTGGTTAAAATTTTTTTATAAAAACCTCAATTAAGTTTTTCCTAAATCTATTTATAACTTAATAAATGAAATTTTTAACCAATCAAATGTGGATTTAAATCGTATTAAAAAAAAAACGATTTCACCTAAAATCCGATGTCTACTTATAATTCTTAGCATGCCACACTTACAGATTTGCCTTTGGATCCTGTAGACAATGGGCTGCGGTTACAATCCAACGGTTGCTAAGGATAGTGCCTCCACACATATTGGGCTCCTCCATGGAGCCCTCGAAGTAACCTAGCAGACCCACCTGGTAGGGTAGCTGCCTAAGTTTGGCCGCCGTGCCATTCATAATTCGCAGGGAGCCGATCTGCTGGCCAAATCCCAGAGAGAGCTGAACGATTAGCACCAGCTGAAGGATCATTTCAACTGATTTACGACTACCAACCCTTCAACGGCTTATATATGTCCCGAACTCGTGGTGTACATTGATTGCCCCGTTTTTTATGGTCGCATCGTGTTCGAACCTCTTTGCATAATCTGCGTGCTTTTGGTTTATTGGTTATATTGGTTATTATTTACGGTTTGTCGGATACATGGTGATTATTCGTATATATATGTTAGATAAGCTCTCGACCCTCAGCGTAAGAAAGCCCCAAACTTGTAGATGACTTCATGCTGGTACTTTTCCCCCGGCCGCAGAATGGTCGAGGGAAAGTTGCTGTGGTTCACGGAGTCGGGAAACTTTTGTGTCTCCAGGCAGAAGGCACCGTGCTTGGCGTACGCGGCGCCATCCTTGCCAGGAATAGCCATTTCACCGCGCTCCACATCCGGCATGAAGTTGGAGGTGTAGAACTGCACGCCGGGCTGATTGCTGACCACCTCCAGCCAACGACCGCTGGGCGGATGGATGGCCTTGGCCACCATGGCCAATGGTTGCGGTGGACTGAAGCTTACACAGAAGTTGTCGTCGTAGCCGCGGGCCGGTTGCAGATCCTTGAGACCTTCACCCAGGTTTCGGGACACACGGAGATCGAAGGGTGTGCCATCCACGGGTGTGATCTTTCCCGTTGGTATAGAGAATTCATCCGTTTCCGTGATCCCATAGGCATTGATCTCGATGGTGTGCTCGTAGAGACCATGGGCTCCGGTTTTGTGGCCAGCCAGATTGAAGTACGAGTGATTGGTGAGATTGACGGGCGTGGGTTTATCGGTCACTGCACTCAGAAGGACATGCAGGCAGTTATCCTCGCTCAGGGTGAAGCTCACCTCGGCTGTGACCGTTCCGGGATAGCCTTCATGGCCATCGGGATTGGTGTGCGAGAGCGTGACACCATCGCGACGCTTGGCCACCACTTCCCAGTGGACCTTGTCGAAGCCCACGAAGCCGCCATGGAGCTGGAACTTGTTGTCCCGGTTCTTGGACACCTCCACCAGCTTCCCGTTCAGCATGAAGCTGCCGTTGGCAATCCTGTTGCACACCCTTCCAATGGTGGCTCCGAAATAGGGATTCCTCTCACTCTGATAGCCCGCCAAGTCATCAAATCCCAGGGTCACGTCATCTATTTGCCCCTGGGCATCGGGATACTTTATGCTGGTAATGGTGGCTCCGCGGGTGATCAACTGGACGGACATTCCATTGCCATTCCTCAGGGTGAACCGCTTGATGGTGTCCAGCGACTTGGTGATCGGATTCACTGCCTCTGTGGCGAAGACGTCCTCCGTGACGTTGACCATTTTGGATCCGGCTGCAGCTGGGGAATGAGTGCGAGTGCCGATTGCACTGCGTTTTTATCTGACCCTCTCCACAGCGTAGAGGTTAATCAGCACTCGATGCGCATATGTGTTTGTATTAATTATCGCAAAAAAGCCGCAAACAAAAACACAAGATTATGCACACAGATACCGGTTATAACAAGGTGGCGATTTGAAGGGGTCTTAGACAATGGGGATGGGCAGTTTGGGGGGATCTTTGGGAATTGTGCCAGTCCTCGCTATCCAAGAGATTGCTCAAATTCGGCGGTAAATTAGTCTAATTCTTGTTTACTTTTTAATCACCTCAATTGTAGTTTAAATTTCAGAGTTGCCAAACCTCTTTTAAAAATGCTCTTCTATAACGGGTGTAGCCAAATAAATTGAGGAGGGGTTAATCATTTTTGGCATAGTAAACATATATATTTATTTAATTTTATTTAAATAAAGTTAACTTTAAGAACGAATATATTGTAGAACTTTTTTTCATATCAAAATATTTTGGCATGATATAAAATTGAAATAATTGATGATAATATATAAAGAATTATAACAATTTGTAATTTAAATATATATATATAATATACTAATATCCAAAACTTAATTATTCAAAATTTTTTAAAAAATTCATCCCCCTGTAAACAATGCTGCCACCTGTAACTGTCTGGCAACCCTGCCCTAGAAAATACCAAAATATAAAATACCAAAAAAGTCCACCTCTAAGCAACAGGTCGGTTGTTTATTGAATTGGTTTATTTAACTTTATGTTAATTCGGCAAATAGAAAGCTAGCTAACCGCTGCATATTCCCCTTTTACTGACAGAGAGCGCAGAGGAAACCGAAGATTGGCGCCCGCTGAGTTCACCCCGCCCACGCTCCAGTAATCCGACGAACAGAAACCCCAACATGCAATTGACGTGGCAGAGAGATCAGATAAATCTACTACTTCCCATTGCGGTGATTTGTTGTTGTCTGCTAATCGACGTAACCACCGCTCAGGAGGCCCAACAACCATGGTACGAGAATCTTCCAGCGGTGGCCATGGACTACAAGGTGGGTTCCGGGTTCGGGATTCCGCTAGAGGATCGTATTTCATCGGGAGATTGTCTTGTCTTTCAGGTGCACATAGATGCTGGCAAGGAGGACTGCTACCATCAGTACGTTAAGGCAGGAGCCACATTCTACGTTTCTTTCAGTGTAAGTTGGGGGCATTTGGTCCTTCATTTGGGGTCTGGAATCATGGTTCGTTTAGTTCCAATGGGTTTGGACCATTAATAAAAATACTAAAATAACTTTAAAATAATTTGATCATTAATCCAAGTAATGAAGCAGAAATTATATCTAAATCATTCCGAGTGACTATGCTTAAAAAGTATTTAAAAATGTAACAAATTTAAAGTGTTCTACCAATAATTGTTTTCCAACATTTCGAACAAACTGATTTAAATGATATCTAAAGCAGATATCTTACATTTGAATACGTATAAATATAAACAAAGATTGCATCGTTTTGTATGGTTTTAGGAGAATTCAAATATATTTTATTTATTTTAAAACCTATTAAGACCTATTAAAATAGTTATAACTTACATGTTTTTTAAACCCATACAATAATCCCTACCCGTTTTCAGGTGGTGCGTGGAGGCGATGGCATGGCTGGCTTCGCAGTCCGCAATCCTTCCGGTGAGGTGGTGAAGCCCTACCAATGGCAGGCTACCGCCGATTACACGGATCAGGTCTCGCCAGGCGGCTACTACTCCGTGTGCATCGACAACCAGTTCTCCCGATTCGCTGGCAAGCTGGTCAACATCTATATCACCGTGGTGAAGTACGATGCCTGGGACAAATACGCCAAGGAGATCGAACAGCTGCAGCTGAACATGCAAAACTTCACAGTAAGCTAAACTGGTTTTCAGACACACCCAAAAATAAGAAAAAAAATCACAATGATCTATTTTTTAGGCCACCATTGGCACCGTGGAGCGGAATATAAACGACATGATGGGCTATCAGGCGCATAGCAGGCATCGCGAATCGCGCGATTATGCGTTGCTGTTGGACAACAATGCGTATATTCAAACCTTCTCGATTAGCCAAATTGTGGTCATATTGATCACATGCTCAATACAGGCAAGTTATGTCTTTTAGTTTCCATTTCCTGTTCTAATAATATCCTATTTTCCAGGTTTTCTTTGTGCGCAAATTATTCGAAGTCAAGTCGGGCTCCAAGAGTCGAATTTAAACTCGCCAAGTTTTTTTCCCAAGACTTTACAGCTTCTTTTTCAAATTCCATCCGCATTTCCAAGACATTCATTATTCTGGCTGAAACCCCTTCGCGTTTTTGTAACTTATTTTACCACTGGCTAAACTGATCAAGTGCAACTAAGCTGACTTTTTTCATAATTGCGACTACTTATGTCATACGAGTTGTAGACAGCAAAACTTATTGTGATAAGTGTACATTTGTGTGTTTTGTTCAATTAAAATATTGAAGATTTTTGTAATTGTTTCGGTTTTTATTTGGGAGATGGAATGGATATGGTTTTCTTCCTTACAGATTCTTGTATAATACATTTTACATTTAATTATTTTTGAAAAGCTGTCCATAGGGTTGGATTGCTGACTAAAAGCTCTAAAAGGACTTTAAACAAGCTTTGGAAAGCTTCTATGAACCGTTACTTTTAAAGTAATGTATCCTTTTTGAAAAGAGTTAGTATTTTTAATGTAAACTCCACTCAAATTGAAAAAATAAATGCACAAATATAAGTAGCTTTTAAAGAATGTGCTGTATACATTATTTTAAAGGCAGCTAGCTCATTAGTCTAATCTCAGAGTCGAAGACATTTCAAAGGCATTTCTCAACTTATGCTGGTGTATTAATCACCCCGAATCCCGCTTATCGCAAATTATCCTGCCCCATCCATCGCAGGACCTTAAATCATGTCACCGTGCTCGCCGCTTATCCAAAAGTCATTTAACACATGTGTGTTCCCTGGCTCAACTGGCATGTTAATTATATCCTTTTTGGCAGGGGATCTTGGGGCGCCTTTTGTGGCCACTTTTGCTCGAAATTAAAATGTTATTATGCGAGCTTATCTGCGGGTCTTAAAGAGCCCGCAAAACTAAGGTCCTAATGGCCTCGCACACCAGCACACGCTCTTTAACTGTTTTAAACGCCATTGTTAAAATATTGCTCATACGCACTTCCGCCCAAAATGGGGTCTTCTCTCTTCGGCAGCACTAATGATGCCCCAAGAACATGGAGCAAGGCGAAGCAAAGGAGCATCCACGATGGCACACGATGTTTTTGGCTCCGCCCACCAGCAGCCGATGACAGCGGCAGATAAAAGGGCAGCGGCAAAGTGGGTGGCAGTGGGTGGGGGTGGTGCGGAGAGCGCGCCTGCGCATCGGCCACCGCAGGAACGCAGGACGATGGGGTGACACATCCTTGCTGATTATACTGAACCCCCTCCCATTCCACCGAGGACCAGCGCTTTGTGGGAGGAGTGTGTCGCCATCTTTGAGCGTGGACTGGCGACTGGACGGGATGATCTGGCCGCCACATTAACTTGGAGTGCGCGCTACCAAGTGCAACACGTCGCGGACGACATAATAGCGATACTTTGCGGTTTAGATTCGTCGGTCACACGTCGTCAATATTCCCGGGAAAAGGACCAAAGGCGAACCTTTCTTGGTCAGAAAAACAAAAAACAGTGGCAAATACAAGAGGAGCAAAGAAAAGCAAAGCAAGGCAGGAGTAGTGACAAACACACACGGAAAACTTGGACACATACGCCCAGCTTGTTGCTCGCTGTGGGCGTGGCAACAACGAAAAAGACGAAAAACAACAAGGACACACACATGTGTCCTGCCAGTGTGTCGCGGAAATTTTTGTGCGGAAATTATAGAAATTTCGCTTTTTGATTTCATTTTCATTCCGCTTTCGTTGCGAACCTCTTACCACTCGGCACACCACCACCCACAACCCACCGCCACCCCTTTGTACACCTGTGCGAAAAGGCATCGAGAAATGCCCAAGGAGCCCACCGCCGTCGGTGTCCAGTTGGCTTCGTCGTCCTTGCACTGACAAATTTCCTTGCATATCCGCTCCAGGACTTCGGAACTTTGACTGCAAACAAAACCGTCATTTGCGTGGCGCGTCGCTGTCGCGTTCACTTGTCGCATATCCGTCGCCATTTTGACAATAATTTCATTTCCGGTCGGCAATTTGTACGCACTTGAGTGAGTGATTAACTGCATCGACCATAAGCGATTGTGAAGTGCTTACCTATCCCGCCGGAAGTCCGAAAGATAGTCGACGTGGAGTCTCATTTTTGGATAAACTTAATTACATAAACAGGCACAATCCTGAGGTGAGTTCCGGCTGCAATATGGGTTGAATATTATTTAAATAGCCGACGGAGTTGTGGAAACTGAAAAACCTCGAGATTTTTAGTTAATTTTGCCAATTGCTTATTAAAAATAAAATTAATTAAATCGGACTTATTTACAAACTCATAAAAATACATATATTTCTTTCCTAGTTGTTAGGTTTTTAATTTGTAAAACTATTAATTTTTTTTAGTTTAACAATATTTAAAACAATCAATAAACGGAAAGCCGATTGCAATGGCATAGATGTATGCTTAGAAACACAAAAACATTTGGTTAGGAAAAGGAGAGATACCCTTGTAGATCGTTCTTATAGCCAGGATATTATAATTTTGGTCAAAATGTATAAAGCACATAAATTCTTAATCAGGATCAATAGGTAAGTCGTTATAGCCATGTCTGTCTGGCCGCATGTTTCCATATTGTTTTGTGAGTACAGTTTAAAAGCTAGTTGTCCTAAAATATGTTTACACAAATAAAGTTTGAAACCTTCCTATAGCTCCCATAGAAACGATCGGATATAAAGTTCAAAATTAAGCTGTATTTAAAGACATTTCGCTCAATGTACATACAATATCTTATAAGCTATTGATTGAAATAAAACTTTTTAAATTGTATTCTTTTTGTCTACCATGTTTAGGGTTAAAGCGCTTGCCGATCGGATAGGGTGAAATAGGTCAAAATTAGATGTTTTTCAATATATAGGTTCGGTACACAATGAGGAACTGGTTTTCATCCTTTAAAAATTAATTCGTACACTTGAATTTGTTGTATACAAATTTAATTCTTCTTTCACTTTAAAGGTAGTATTGTATAATACCAAAACATTCCACTTTTAATCGCCATAAGGAATTCTGTTAAATTTATTTAATTTATTTCCACTAATAAGACGTTTGGCAGATTCAGGTTTACAACTAACTTTCGTTATTCCCTGTAATTCACTTTGCAATTTCCGCTTAATGCTAGTTATCCAACCCCTCAAAAAGCTCATTCCACCATCAGAGCACTCGGTGGCATATGTTTTCTGCTAATCAAATTAGCGAACTTAAAACGGAAGTATTCATAAACCAGCAAACAGAGCAAATGAGCAGCATCATCGGCATTAGCTCGACAATTAAACAGCCCAGCAGTTCCATCAGCCAGCGAGCAGTGAAAGCATTACAAAATTTAAATGTCCAAAAATCGCATAAAAATCTTACAAACCATTAAAGAGCAGCCAAACGTGTGGCCTCTTAATTAAGGGATCTCTCCTTCGACAAGGGGATTACACCATTAACAGCTGTCGAAGAGCATAAACTCGGCAATCACAGCGATACGAAGTGGTATTCAAAAAATGAACACGCGCTGGAGAGCGAAACGAGCATTCAGCCCATCTGCAGACCGACATCCTGGCATCCCGCTCGTATTTCCGGTGTGCGCGCGTTCGCTCAGCGATTGTGATAGCTTGGAAAATACAAAAATACGAAATACAAAAAGAAAATGTCTGCCTGCTAATGTTTGCTGGCGAAATTTGCTTACATGCAATCGCAGGTCCTCGGCCCAAGTACAAATAATAAATAATAAATGAGGCGTGTGCAGGCCGTTTATAATGTCTGACAAGGCAAAAGTTGATGATGTTCTGCAGATGCGACCGTCGTGATAACGAAATCTATTCTCCCCCTCAAAAATCTTAAAGCTGCTGGGGTTCCGGGTTTCTATTTTCGGTTTTTCGATTTTTCGAGTACACTTTAAGGACAGAGACAGGACAAGTCGCACTTTGTATGGCATAAATTTCGTTGGCATAAATCAAAATCCAGCAACTTCCGACGAGGGCAGAGTGCAAAAATTTGCATGCCCTGTGTGTGCTAACTGCAGACTGGCCGAAAAGGGCCAGTAAACAATGGTTCTCCTCCCTGGCCCTTTTCCCCTCATCCCCGACCAGCTGGACATTAGAGAGCCACGCTCAAATGGCCGCCACCCACGCACAGTCCAACGCTCATACGCAACGTTGGCCCAGTCCAAAAACCAAAGAGCGGGACTGTACACACAATAAATAACGAGCCAGATAATTATGCACGTCGTGTTTATATCTAAGGGAGCAGCAAAGCAGCCAAGCTCCAAAGCAGCCACTATTAATTATGCCAGCATTCTGGGGGATTCGGGTGGAACTCGTTTAACGTGTTGGAGCCATGGCAATTAGAGCGATTGTTTGGCCCGAGAGGCTTTATAAAATTGCAGTCTTTAATTGTGGGCCAGGCGTTATGATTTATTAATATCTTGTTCTGCAATTTGCCATGAGGTGAGTGATGGAATTTACTTGAACTTTGGAGCAATTAAAGTTCTGGCTAAGATAATTTGAGCGATTTTAAGCATTTTTCAAAGAGTTGTGATATGCTCCTAACTAAAAATTAGACACAAGGAGTAAAATATATTTTCGGAACTATAAAGCTATATTTAATTGGCCAACATACAAATTAAATTTTAAACAAGTTATTTTTTAAATATTTATTTTTGTACGATTACTTTTAAGAGGGTTGCGATTTGTGCTTTAATATTTTCATAAAATCTTATTTATTCGGGGGTGTCACAGAAATATTTCGTAAGATTTTTGTTGAAAATATTTTCTATGGCACCCCCGATTAAAAAATATATTAAATTCCTTTCTGTTTCATTGACTAGCATTTATTTTCAATAAGGCAGATATATTATTACATTTATGCGATATGCTTTAGTTATCCTCTCTCATTTCCTATCTCTTCCTCTTTCAGAGTCAAGTGGAATCCCTTGTTTAGCCAACAGCCAGCCATCGAGGCTCCCCAGGCGTGCGCCATGTACGAGAACTCCTGTTCGTATCAGACGGCGCTGGACCTGAAGCGAGTGTCGCCGCCCACTCTCGCCCAGGTGAAGACGGAGGACTGCCTGACCCTCGGACAGTGCTCGCCGGACTGGACCTCGTATCGCTTCCACCAGTCCACCTTCGAGCAGCTGAAGCAAAGCGTCGAAAAGGCCAAGGCGGCGCTTCAGGACCGCAGTAGTTTCTTCGGGGCCAGCAGTGCCTTCAGGTGAGCGACTTTTTAATATTTATTCATTACTCTAAAAATACATTTTGAATAATTAAGCTGATACCAAAATCACATCTTTAAAAGTTAGTAACATTACTATATTTTTCACAGAAATGATTATTTTCCAGAAATATCTGGAAGACCAAAAAGGTATCGTTTTGTAGCCATATTTTTTTAAAAATAAAGTTCTAGTCCCATTTTAAAAAAGTTTTTAAGTATTAATTCAAAGACATTTAACTGTAAAAACGTTAATAAATGTTAAGTTTAAAATCTAATTATAGTTTAAAAGGGCGAACGAGAAAACGTTCATTCAAGAACTTACCAAATGTTTTGAAATATTGAAAAAACATTTGATCCTTACAAGATGTCACATATTCATTATTCTCTAGTCACCTACTAAAATATTGAATGTCCTGTTTGCCACCGCAGTGACATCTACTCCAGCCAGCGCTTGACGGACACCCTCGACACCCTGCCCGTTCAGTCCGGGAACGGAGCTGGCAATTGCCTCGGCCTCCCACACAATCCCAATGTCGGAGTGGGCGTGGCCGGAGTGCTCAACTACAATGCGGTTAGCAGCAGTACGGCCGGAGTGCTGGGCAGCAGTGGGAACAGTGTCCAGAGACACCGGTTGGACACTCTGCAGCCGCCGCCCGGCTGCTCGCCCGCCGTCACCCAGCACGGCGTCATCACGTCCAGTGCCGGACAGGTCACGTCCGGAACTCTGGATGCGGTGAGTGCGGCTCCGGCACTGCCATCGCTAACAGCGTCCAGCTCCTCGCATGTGGAGCACAAAGTCAGGGCAGGTAAGCGAAGATAATGGGGTAGAAGTTATAGCTTTACTTTGGGAAAAACAATAATTAAATATTATTTAAAAGCTTTAAAAATTTTGAAAAACAATTTGTTCTATTGAAAGCAGGTTTCTGTAGGTTAATCTATAAATAGTTTTCTGCTAAAACCTATTATACAGTAATTTTTAGAACTTTTAAATGATTTTGTGGGTATACAAAGTGTTTTCTTAAAAATATAACAACGTCTTTAATCCTACAATATTTTTTAAAACCTATTTAATTGAAATATTACAGATCTGTTTAAGCATATAGCTATTTTTTAAGTTTCTATTTATTTTAATTGTGATTACTTTAATGGTCATGGTCGTTATATAAAAGACTTAGATAATGAAACCGAAAAAAAATATATTTTTTAGTGCACCAACCCACTGACCTTCTCGCAATTGTCTAGCACAAAAATGTCAACGAAATGGCGGAAAAACAAATCCTGCGCTTCCGGCCAAGGCAAAACGGACCGAAAGCGAGACAAAAGGCACCCGAAAATGTTGTGCCACAAAAGTGGCAAATTTCGCGTATTTATTTAAACACATCCAAGCAGCATATGTTGGCCAACTGCCACCCCCGCCGATCCCTTCTCCCGATCCCAGTTGACCAACCACCAAATATGTCCAAGCCCGTAACATTTAATGGCCAAAACAACGGCTAAAAACCGCGACCAGCCATGTACATAATTCTGCTTGTTGTATCAACACAACAATAAGAAGGGAAAAAATTGGGCAAAAAATTTAAATTGAATTATCCATATAAACGTTGAGGTCTCCCGGGGTCGGTTTCTATTCCTCTGATATTTTCATGGCTCGTTTTAATTTTTTTTCGGTTTGGTTCGGTTTGGTTTGGTTACATATTTATCAATTTAAGCCGGGCCAGCGGATGTGGCTTATAATGCAGCCCGGAGCAGGTTGCTGTTGACTGTTTGCGGTCCTTGCCAGGTTTTGATAGAAACATCAAAAACCGAACAATTTCATCGCGTGCCTGGCGAGAGTTTGTTATGCCGCCTCCGTCCGTCAAGTTGTCCATGTCCATTTATTTCTATAAGAAAACTTCTTTCCTTCTTGCTATCTGTTTCTTTTTTTTTGGCAAATTTATGTCCTGTTTCTGCTCCGTTTTCAATTAGAAAAGGCTGACATGGCCCGACTTGTCTGTTCTTGGGCTGAAGGACGAGTAGTTCATGGAAAAACTTGGCTCAAATTGAATAATAAAATTTTCGTTTAAATTTGCCTTATCTTGCTTTTACTTTAATCGCCAATTTAAGGACATTTTGCTTCCCAAGGGACAACTTCTGAAGTCTATCCTCGCAATTGCTAGACACAAAATGGCCGCCCTGCTCATCTTTTTCCGTCTCATCTCGACGCGCTCAAGCAAATATGAAATGAATCCTTTTTGAGCCTGCCTCCTGCTCCCCAAAACTCCCCCGTCTCTTTCATCTACGCTCGGGCTGTCTCTTTCTGTGGTCGCTGTCAAGTTGTAGCTGAGTTTTTGCCGCTTTTGCTTCGCCATGAAAAGATTTTGTCATGCGTAACTCATTATTTTTTGCTCAAAAGACGTTTGGCTCACAGAGGCGCATAAAAAATAATTACACTTTGCAGCCAAGTCAAGGAGCTTATAATATAAAGTTATGTACATTTTTCCTTTAAGTCATTTTATAGAGAAATTTTAAATTTAGTTTAAACGGCTATGAAGTTTTATTTATTTATGAAGATAAATTTAATGGCTTTGCTTAAAAATAAAAATTAAAAAAATATGATATTTAGATTATTTATTTAGATACAAGCTATCATCCTTTGAATCCATTTTTCCCAAGACAGAGGCACAAATTATGATACCGTCCGTTTCCAGACAGCTCCCATGATGGGAAGCGATTCCCATCATCTTCATGGCTTTTATAATCATGGACTCGTATCATATCCGGCTTGACATTTCAATTGAAAGCGTAGCAAATTATTCTTGCAATTTTTTCCTCGCCGGCTGGCTTATTGTTGTTTACATCAAACAAAGATTTACGGCAATTAAACATCTCCATCGCTGGTCTGTGAAGTGACAACCCTCGCGATTATGTCCTTTGCGGTTCACAGGATCTGTCAGCATTTCCATTGGGCGGCGTGGGGTGGAGGGTTAGAAGGTTGGCTGGCGAGCGACGTTGCGTGACGTTTCGGCAGGGCGGGGTAGCGAAGTAAAAACCATAATTCGAGCCATAAATAAACCAGTCGCTAGTTGTGATGACAATTATCTATGCCGAGATTTATGAGTCCCGGCTCTCCGTTTATTTTCACTTTTTTCCTTGCGGATCCTTTCCGTGGCTAAAGGCGAAGCGTGCCGTGCTGAGTGTGCAAATTTTCGCTGCCTGGCAATTAAAATATCCTTTTGTTTGCTTCTTCGTCTTTCAGATAAATCCTCGCTGGACTGCGCTACCACATCCTCGCATGCAGCGGTGCCCTCGTCCTCGTCCTCGACCAGCGACCATCAGCAGGGCAGGATCAGCGGCAGCAAGAGCAGCAGCACCAGTGGCGCCGGGGCAGGGGGATCGGCATCAGGAGCAGGAGGCGGCTCTGCACTGTGTAAGTTCAACACTGTGATTATGTCAAAAATGTCCTTTGAGCTTTTGACAGCTTTCAGTCAGGACAGCAACCTGATGGTGCCATACAAAGTGTCATTGTTCACATAAAAGGTGGCGCATGTGTGCACTGGGGGTGGAATGTCCTTAGCGAAGGATTTTCTGCTCTAGGGGTGTTCGTGGAATATCATATAAAATGTTTTTCATAAAGTAAACAAAATTATTTGTATTTTATAAACAATTCCACGAGTGGATTTGGTGTATTTGTATTTGTTGTTATTGTTGCGTTATTATAACAATTACTGGTGGTTCTCTTCAGTGTTTCGAAAACTGGTTCAACTTCTGGCCAACAGTGAAATGGAAACTTTAATAAATAGTTTTAAGAAATACACAAGTTTGAATCATTTTTTAATTATTCAATTTTAAAATATTGTTTAAGCATCGTTTAATTCATGACTTGAATAGACTGATATTTACTTAAAATTGTTAAGCTTATTTCTGTGTGTAATATTATAAATATTTAGCTTTTAAAGTTGATTCAATATTTTTATAAATTTATTGCTTTTGACAAAAACACCTTTTTTCGGTGGAAATTAGGGAGAAATACGAAAATTTTATCTTGATTCAACATAGTTTGTCTAAAAACAGTGTCTCAGCTAAAAGTCTGATTACACTTTAAGTTTTTATATTTTGAAATCAAATACAATAAATAATTAAATAATACATTACTCGCAAATATATATTACTTTTGCAAAATTAAGTATCAAGATAACATACTTCATATAACTATAATTGAGACATTATTTCCCACGAAGTGCTTAAATCCCCTCTTGAAGGATCTCCCAACTTTGATAACTCAATTGCTCACTTGACTTAATGCTATAAGCTTGACTAATGCCCGTAATCTCAACTGCGAACCTTTTGTGCCAGGTCCCTCTGGGAACTGCAATTGAGTTCATTTGGCAGTGGGAAAGTTGGCAAACAATTGTCAAGGCCTTATGTTTATATCCTTTGTTCCTGCCTACAGTAAACATACAAAACGCAACAGTCACAACATTCGCTTGCTTCGCCAGTGAATCTGTGACTGCCCGTTGATAATTTGACTCCTAAGTGCTCTTCAGCGCTAATCCTATTAAAGCGTGTTAGTCACACGCTCCTTCGAGCACACTTCACTCGGAAGGACAACCCCCGAGCGCATCCAGACATCCTGTCTACCAGTCCTTGCGACCAGCTCAAGGGATGGTCTCTTTTCGGCGAGGACAATGAGGCTAATCGACAGATCATAAAATGATCAAAATGTTATCTGAAGCGCATTAGGGCGCACGCTCCGCTGACAGCGTGGTAGATACTAGACTCTATAGAGTATCTATATCTATAGATTGGCTGGGAGGGGTTCGATGTGTGGGATCCTTTCGGCACAGACAATTGAGCGGTTAGGTGTGCATAATGGGAAAGGGTGCAGAACGGCAGCACGACATCGTTAAACTCATCGAGTGGCAATTGATACAATTTATTGTTTTATTGGGCTGATTTCAGATATATTTGTTTATTAATGAATTGTGTTTACGTGATGGATAAATGGGTATTTAACTTAAATATCTGGTTGTTGTAAATATGATTTATGGTTAGTAATCTTTTTTACCTAATTAGTTTGTTTTTTATATTCATTTTGCAATTCTGAGGTCTAACAATAAAACACTGACAGTCCACAAATAAATACATTCGTCATTGATTGGCTTTAAAAATCAGTTGTATAATATAAAAGTCTTTGAAATATTTTAAAATGGAAAGTGTTGGATTTCTTTATATGAGTTTTGTTAATGCAATTCGATATTGAGTTTTGTAAAGTGTAAGATTCCATTATGATGTGGGTTCTATTAATAAAATACGATATTTATTTTAGTAAAGAATATTTTGATTGCTAACTTATATTATTGTTTTAAGAATTGGTAGTGCACATCTCTAAGTTGTTGTCTGAAGTAACAAATAAGTAAAAAACATATAAATAAAATGTTTTTTAGTAAACTTGTTATAACGTTTGATAAATTTCCAATGTTTATTTATACAGTTTTCGAGAAAATTTTAAACCCTGGCCTTAATTTTAATTACATTTTGGGCCCTACAAAATCATATTTTGTGATGTCTATCATCATCTGTCGCTGGGCTGTTTGTTTGCTGGTGGCTCACCCGAAGTGCTCAACTCTAATCATAATCGCATAATCTGTCAGCAGGTCGGCCCCACCCACACACCGCCGCCCCTCATCAGCGCGCCCAGCGGGTGGTTGCCACCCCCTCGGCCTTTGCCGCCCACAAGTGAGCGCCACATTGCGTCCTTTCGTCCTGCCTCCCTCCATCTGCCGTCCTGTGTGTATCCCCGTCCCTGTCCTCCTGCACCGTATGTTTCGCTCACTTGAAATTTAATTTCTGATTTCATTTGCGCACAGTTTATTCTATATATTTTTTTTCTGCCCGTAATTGTTTCAGGCTGTGAAAATAAATTGAAAACGCTGCTGTGCCAACTGGCGCCAAAGGACGATGAAGTCCTTTTTGACAGCTTCGCGGACTGACGCTTGCGCTTAAATTTATTCGCTAGCATTTATGAATGTTGTTGCAAAACAAAAAAAAGAGTGGCATAATGGCAAGCAAAAAATGCGCATATTTGTTGGGAAGGAAAAAGGCGAACTTGGCCTGGAAAAACTTTTGGTTCCCATGCTCTACTGTCCGCTCATGTGTGCGCCTATTGATGTCCAAATATTTTTATTCATGGCCCTTTTCGCGGTTCACTTAACTGCCGATTCAAGTCATTACCCTCCCCCGGGAGATTTCGGCACGAGTCGTTCATAAATCAAGTCATTGTTGGACCAACCCCACCGTAGCCCAAAAAGATGACGGCAACAAGCTGGAAAATGTTTGGCTAATTTAGTTTTTGTTTATTTTTCCTCTTGATCGACGAAAGATAGGCCAACAAATTTGCCTGGACGAAGCGAAAAACTTTACAAAAATAATTAAAAAATCCTCGGCGCAGTTGTGAAATAGAAAACTGTCAGCGAGTTCAACAGGTTGGCTTCCGCCTCCGAAGTCCGCTGCTCTTTGTGATTTATGCCGCTAGAAATGACCCGCTTCCGACATGGTATATCAGAAAAGGAAAATATATATATACCCATGTATATATGGAGGGAAAATAGGAAAGGCACAAAAACCAATGAACGGCGGCAGCGGCGACGAAAGGAAAATGGAAAAGCGGGCGCACTTGAAAGTTTTAGAAGCTCTAGGCCACCTAGGTCCTATCCTCCCAGTCCTATCCTCCACGGCGGAAACGCAGTGCACCCGGAGCCGGAGGTGGCTGTGTCGAAGCGTCTCCGGTCTCGGCAGCCCGAGCTCCGCAATTTAGTTGTCAATTGAATTTATGAGCTCGTTGAATTTATGGCCGCCACCTCGACACTGGCCGTGCTTTTATCTCAAGTGACACAACTCACGTGAGACCGTGGGAGCCAAAACCCGAAGTCGAACCAAACTAGTGAGTGGAAACCCTTGACCCGCCAAAAAGTCAATCCGCGTTATCAATTGACAGCGAGGGTCGCGCTGGGAGTCAAACCGCGGTAATTTATAGCCGGGCCGAGCACGTGAACCGTTCCTCCACCCAACCCCTTTTTCCAATGTTAATTGTTTGTTTGCTGTTTGTTGTCATTGGCTCTTAAGTGGCGCGGGGTGAGGGGAGAGGGTACAGCTACCCGGACTGAAGGGTGCCCGCCAGGGGTGTGCCGTGTGAATATTTTTGCTTTCAGTTTAGAAGAAATCAAAAAAGATATAAAATAAAATAGGAACTATGTTGTGGAGAGCAACGACCACGATTTACCCTCTACTTTAGAATATAAAATATCTTTAGGTTTATTTTGACAAAAGCAGGAATTTTTCCAGCTAAGTAAAGATCCACTTCACTTTCGGAAATATTTAAAAACAAGAGAGAACGCTATAGTCGGGTGCCCCGACTATCAGATACCCGTTACTCAGCTAAAGGGAGTGCGAAGGAGATGGAGAAAAACTTTGATCCGCCGTAACTTTTTAACGAATGGTCCGATTTAAAAAATTTCTTCTACATTTCGATAGGTATTGAAAAACACAATAAAACTGCATTTTTACTTTTCCAAAATATTGAAATTTTTAAAATCGTATATATGCGATTGTGGGCGTTAGAGGGGGCGTGGCACCCTTTTGAAACAAACTTGCGCTGCGTAGGAACTCCTAGAATCTGCATGCAAAATGTCAATCTTCTAGCTTTTATAGTTTCCGAGATCTCAGCGTTCATACAGACAGACAGACGGACAGACAGACGGACAGACAGTCAGACGGACAGACGGACAGACGGACAGACGGACATGGCTAGATCGACTCGGCTAGTGCCCCTGATCAAGAATATATATACTTTATGGGGTCGGAAACGCTTCCTTCTAGCTGTTACATACTTTTGCACGAATCTAATATACCCTTTTACTCTACGAGTAACGGGTATAAAAATGATATTTGTTTAACATTTTTGCCTTTTTTATAAGGGGTTACATCACGAAAGCGCTATACCAATTTCCTTATTTGGTTAGTTCCTTGCTGTGTTTTAAACAACGGTAACATTTTTGCCAAAATCATCGATTAACTTATTCACTATTTAACGATTCCCAAAAACAACATACCCCTTCCGCCAGTAAGCGGTATTCAGCATAAAAAGGAGCGTGGAATAAACGAGCTCGTGACACTCTCTTGCAATTATTTGAGAAAGTCAAACGGTGGTAATCGGAGTCGAAACCAGCACCCTCCAGCCGTGTCACCCTTCCACCTTTCCCTTTTTTCCGCCGCACACCACCCCCTCCACCTTATCAATCGCGCAATTATTGCCGGCATTGTTTAGATAGACAGCCACGAGGACACCTTCAATATGTCGCTGTGAGAACTTCCTTTGGCCCTCCCGTTTGTTGTTCGTGTCTGTAATTTGTTTTTATTACAATTTTCACT